CGTTGTAGGTGGCGGTCGATTTAGAATTCTTTTGAAGTGTTCAGCCCAGTGTTTCCTTTGACCCACCTCTTTGGTGATTGACTTCTCATTGTCAACCTTCACTGGCTTAATTTGTGTCGAACGTTTTCCCTGATAGGAACCTAGTTGTTTGGTAGTGTGTTGCGAGGTCTCCTTTGCCTGCAGCTTGTTCTGCCTCACTTGCCATGTTTTCATAATACTTTCTTTTGTCTTCCCTAGCACTCTTCTTTACTCTTTTGTTCAGTGTCTTGTAGCTTGCATTCAAATCCTGTTTTCGTTGCTCGTCGGTGCGCTGGAGAATCTTTTGTTTCACCATCCTTCTCTCTTCTATCAGTCTCCAAGTGTCCGTAGTGAGCCACTGTCTCTTCTTTCTGCCTAGAACTTCCATGCAGGTTTGACTCCACACTGTCTTCAAGTTGTTCCAGTGTTTTTCGACGCTGACCTCTTCGCCAGTGTCGATTTGTGTCTCGGCTTTGTCTTTTATACTTGCAGTGAAGATGTCCTTTGTGTCCTGGTCCTTCAGTTTTTGAGTGTTGAACTTGGCTTGTGGTCTATCTGCAGCCCTGGTTCTCTGAAAGCTTTTAATTTGATTTGGATTGTCCTTTGTACGAGATAGTGGTCTGAGCCAATGTCTGCTCCTCTTCTTACTTTTGTGTCCAGCAGGCTGCGCCTCCACTTCCTTGAGATTGAGATGAAGTCGATTTGGTTTTTGGTTCGCCCATCTGGTGACACCCATGTAGCCTTGTGGATATGATTGTGTTTGTATACGCTGCCACCAATCACTAGTTCATTGAAGGCGCAGAAGTCGGCGAAGAGTTCTCCGTTTTCATTCATTTCTCCGAGAGCTTCTCTACCCATGATGAGTTCCCTTCCTGTGTTATCTGATCCCAGTTTGGCGTTCATGTCTCCCATTAGTATTTTGATGTCACCAGCTGGAGTATTGTCCATTGTTGTCTGCAGTTGTCTGTAGAATTCTTCTTTCGTTTCGAGGTCTGCGTTGTTTTCCGGTGCATAGCATTGTATAATTGACACTTTCCTTCCTTTGGAGTTGAATCTGACGGTTATTATCCTGGGCGAGATCGCCTCCCATTGCATCAGGGCCTTCATTGCCGTTGGGGACCCCTTTGATACCCAACACAACGCTAATATGTGCCAGGATGTTGTCTACCTCATCTGCCATTCGAACATCGTATGGCACCTATCCTCAACACATATTCGATTCCTGATTCAGCTTTTCCCGAGTTAAGTTCGGAGATGTTAAAATCAGTGTTTTTGTGCCATTTTCGGCAAACATTTGGTTGCCGCGAAATTTCCTGGGATCTTTCAGTTGACACTACTGGAGATTGTGATAAATTTTACAAACTTTATCCTCTCATCTTGCCCTTCGTATAAGCTGGACTCTATTTAGCTATTTCATATCGCCTCCGGGTATCCACCAGTAAATCACACTTTTATTGCAACTACTATACATAGATAGGCAGTGTTGATAACCCCAGGAAGATATCGCTTACACCTGCGGACAAGAACCAGTGTTTCTGGCCTGAAGATTGTAATCTGGTATCAGGTGCCGGCCTGTAGCGTGACATGGGACCTTCCTAGCCCAGGCTTGGCCTTCGTTTTTGGTGTGGTACTGGTTGCAGGTCGCATATGAACCAATAAGTTTGTACCAAGACTCCGATCCTTAGCTGTCTGGGCACTTCTCAGTGGCCCCACCTAAGAAGCTACTCGTTTCCACGGTGTTCGTGAAGTGTTTTGGCCTGGCTCATGGTTGCACTCATATCTCTGATCCAATGCCGAACCTTTTTTCCTACCTGACTTATCGAAACCTCTTACGTATTCTGTGATTGTTGTCTTTTGAATGATCTGCTTCGACTGCACTGCATTAGCCATATTTATGCCATATTCATCGATGATCCAATGTTTTCCACAGCTTCTGGAAAGATAAGTTAAATATAAGCACTACAAAGCTGCTGCTCAGCATTAGGCTGCCTTCTGTGCGTGCTAACTACTTGGGGACAGACCATGATCTTAGGCACCCAAAGCATGCTACATTTACCATGGAAGTGCTTGTAAACAGCTTTGCTTCAATACTGCATCACCCGCTACTCTGCCTTCCACTAGTCTTGTTAGGTGGCACGAGCAATGTGACAGAGTTCAGTCTCCTCTAATCTTCGTTCGGAAGCACTTCTTCATGCGCTGATTTTGGGCTATTGAAAGGCAGATATTTATACCACGCTTAAGTACAATGTATGGCTGACTAGATGGTTAGTAAAGCAACAGTTTTTGCACACACTTATTAATGGAGTGAGACAACTGAGAAAAAACGTTTCCATGCTGGGTATTTTCAGACATAATGTTATGTAGTTCGAAGCAGTGCTGTAACTAAGCACACCATAACTTTAAATGGATTCTAAAAAATCTATCATCAAAATTTGAACACATAGTTAACCAGACGTTATTATGATTAATGGAGTTAGGCATAAAACTGGACGGATCTGAAGGAGTGTAATGAAAAGGTGAATAGCTACAGTGTCACAAGGTGGCCTTCTAGAATTGTTCAGAGGTTGAAAAGCTACCGTGAGAGTCTGGGAAGTTGCTTGAAAGACTGCAAACTCGTTTACTCCCCGCTCAAACTATAAACTAATGCCCATGATTGTTGTGTAATCGTCTATCGTGCTGGGACTATGCCTGCCTCACCTTCTGACTTCTTAGCCCGACCCTCCTAACCTGGTGTCTGGGCTGTTCTTAGCACTGCCCCAACTAGCGAGGGGGTCTAACACTAACTGCTTCTCAAAGGTACATTTATTACTGAATAGAGGAACACACAGCCACAAAATAACGTGGTCGCCGAGCCCCATGAAAATCCAACTGTCTGCATGCTTTTCAACCTCCACAGGTACAGAAATCGATTGTCAAAGGTTCCGTTAAATTGAAGAACTTCTTTAGTCCCCTACAAGAGCTTTCTGTTCCTTCTCATTTGTTCCACCCCTGTTCACATTAAGCGAACGCTGGATGTTGCCCCCCCCCCAGTTAGAGCTTTCTAAATGAGATCAACATCTTGGAAAAACATGGCCCACATTCTCCTTAACGTCCAGGGAGCGCTCCAACATTCGGGATTTTACTTTGATATCCACTCGTGATGGATCAAATACTGTTCAAAATGAGGTCACGGAATCACATTTCGTTCTTGAACTTAAAAATGGGATGAAAAGACTGAACAGCAAAGAAAAATTAATGGATTTCTTCAAATGAATTACTCCCAAACTTCTAAATGCGCATTTTTAAACAGTTAATTTCCGGTGTCTTAACGTTTCTAAACCTGACTTTTACAGCCTACGTGATCACTGTGAGAACAGGATCAATAATTTTCACGAATTGCAAGCGACTTTGAAGGAGTACAAACAGGCTAAGGTGGCCAAGCTAGGTGTGTCTATCTTAAAATTAAAAAGGTGTTTTGACGCCACTCATTAATCACTAACTGACTGAAAATGTTATTGTTATGGCTAATGAGACATTAAATAACGGAGGTAATGAGTTCTAACTAAGGATACTCAAAGTCTCGAAATTTTAATGTGATAAACTTGTCCCAAAAAACACTCAAGTGTGGCAATTCACAGACTGTGCATAGGGCTTTAATTGCAGTAAAGGAGGACAAAGTTAAGACTACCACCATAAGTACTATACTGACAGACTACCGAGTAGTGGTGTGATCCAAAATAGCAATCTTCATTACCATGGATATTTCAGTAGCTGTTTATTGGGAGAGAACACTAATATCTCATTGTAAGAATGGACTGACGACAACTAAAACGTTCTTCAACATCTCCAACTGAGTTATCAATGCACCTAACAGTTCACATAACTGGCAGTATTATTCAGAGAAGTATGTGGACAGATTATTACGCCAAATGAGTCACGTCCCAGATATAAAAATCGAGCATGAGGATATCTGTAAACTCGGGCGATCGTTTTCATTACGGTTGAACACTTCAAAAGGTTGATTTAAATAACAAATTGTTCATGCTCTATATTTTTGTCAGAGCACTGGTTGACAACTAACTGGACTGGAAAATCGCTTACAGCAACTGGAAATTTAGGAATTCGAAATAGAAAACCCGTTTTGGGAGACAAGCCTATTACTGACGATGGTCTTATCCGTTAATAAATAGATATTGATTGACAATGCATATTGGCGTGACAGCTATAAGCTGAATGTATATCACCAAACAGCAGGGTCGCTACCAGTTTTACAGGTAACTAGACCTCAGTGTATATCATATGTTTGTGAGTAGGTAGGCACAACGATACAGCAGTATGCATATATACCTCAGCAAACAAAATGTAAGTACCTTAGTCGCACCACAAAGCAGTTAGTAATCAAAACCAGTGCAAGGCCTAAATGGATCCCTCACGGACATGCGAAAATAATTCGATAGCACTTCGAACGGCATGGATTCTTGGCCGACCGCCCCCAACTCAAATAGTCGACTTCAACACAAGAGCTTAGAAAGCCATCTTGGCCAGTCTGGAAAATAGTATATAGCGACCTACTATCGATAGTTGCCATTTGTACCAAAGATACTACTTTCATCATATATGATGAGAATACCGACATCGAAATGACATTTAAGGAGTTTAACAACTGCCATAATGCCACCCATCTTAAATTACGATAAATCAACAGGCTGTCGAATTTGAGATATTACTTTGCGCTAGTAGACTTTATATTTTTTAAAACTGAAATATAGGATGTAACTTTTGTGCTGGCTCGTCAAAGTTTATTGTTAAGTGATGAGAAGTAGGTCTGAATATAGGTAGAGAACTGTTTACTTAGCCACCGTATAACATGAGACTTACAATGCTCAGTTTCATATGTCATGAACTGCACTTATGGTAACATACCTGAAAAATTAGTCTACTTAAATGTTACTACACAAAGGTGTACAAGCCTTCGGACATTGAATGATACAATTCGTTTTACTGTTTATTTTTCTGCGCACCAGCTTGAATTTCAGTTGGTTCTGAGATGGATTATGCAGAGACTGAGAGTATCGCTCTGAAGCGTTTAGCAGAAGAACGGAAGGCTTGGAGAAAAGACCACCCATTCGTAAGTGATCTTTCTATATTTATTGTAACATGTTCAGGGATTCGTGGCTAAACCAAATAAAAATCCCGATGGCTCGTTTGATTTAATGAATTGGAGTTGTAGTATTCCCGGGAAAAAGGGAGTAAGATGAATCACAAATGCCTTAATTTTATTACTTAGACACTCTGGGAAGGAGGATTGTACAATCTGAAGATGTTCTTCAAGCCAGACTATCCAACAACACCTCCCAAGTGCAGGTTCGAGCCGCCTATATTCCACCCTAATATTTTCCCATCTGGCACAGTGTGCCTATCCCTGTTGGACGAGGAGAAACACTGGAGACCAGCCGTTACAATAAAACAGGTACGTACTAATTGATTTGAAAACTATCGTTGTGAAGATCCTCATAGGAATCCAGGACTTGCTAGACCATCCAAATCCAAAAGATCCTGCCCAAGCTGATGCATACACTTTGTTCATACAGAACAGGAAGGAATATGATGCTCGAATAAGGAAGCAGGCTGAGGCTTGTCGCAATCCAAATTTATGATTGTCAAAGAGACAGCTTCTTTTCTATCTCAATTTTGAAGTGTATATACAATTTTAATCCTTATCCATGGACGTACATAATATCTCATATAAGAGTACATCATCTAGATTTTTTCCCATATATGCTAAGAGTCAAGATGTAAGTTTTGTGCTAAATAAACTTTCTTATTCGACTCAATTTTATTGCTATTTCTGAGGCCAGCAGCTAGTTTAAGTGATTCGCATTGTTAGTAGGAGTAGCTTAAATGGAGCGTCATAGTGTCAGTTTTTTGTTTTTCTAGAGTTACTTACACTAATCGTTGCGCTGTTGGTTTATGTACTATGGAGAATCTAATCTCGAACTTGGTGAATAACGTTTGGAGCAGTAGGCTTCCTCACGCTACAGCCTTGACATATTTTCGTAAAATCATTCCGTCAAAACTAAATATTATCTTGGTACTCAACCAGTACTGCTGTCCAGATAACTATGTCTTATGAAAAGTGTGGTTTTGAAGCAGCAGCGGTTCAATAAGACTGCTGGACATGACTTTTAAAAGGTTCTGCTCTCACGTATTGCTTCATATATCCTTCAAGATTATGTACTCGGCAATGCGTGTGTAACCACATAAACGTAAAGATTCCAACATGGGCTATGTTGTAATTCACTGCAACCATAAATATTACATCTGACTTACAAAAAATGGATTCAGTCCTGTTAGTTGATATAGCCACAAAAACACGAAATCTGCTGTTCGCTGTAATTGTAAGAGAGAAGTGTCACCACCACGAGGTTTCTGTTGTTAAACTTGACCACATTAATTAAGATAATTTATAGTGTCACCTGAGGAAGTACAAAGTGTTAACTGCTAAATTAACAGGCATTGCTGGTTCATAAATCATGTTAAACAATACGGGGACAGTGTTTGAACATCTGAGTATCTGTAAAAAATTATATTTGTAATATCTCAGCGATATTGAAATGAGTAATTCCAACGTTTCGTTCGCCAATCTGGTCCGAACTTCTTCAGGGAAATTAATCAAAATTAACATAACAGAGGTTTTATACATAAAAGGCACATCTTTTGTTTTTAAAAACTTTGTCCAATCATGATTCATAAACACAAGTATTAACAAGTATAATAAACAAAATTGTATGAGCTGTGATCAAAATTTGACCTCGGACTTGCAAATATTGGTCTACCTTTGTTAAACACTTTAAACAGAGTGTGCATGCGTGTGTGTGTAAACAGTTGTAAAACCTTTCTTAACGTCTCCATAGGAAGATATAGACAGTCAGGAATTTGACCATGTATTATTAATTAGTGATACATATCCATTTTTATTTATTAATCAGGATTTCCTATGCATCAGCTAACATCAAACCTTCTGTCAAATCTTGACGACAGTTCATTTGAATCTAAGTATCTGTTTGAGAATTGTGACGTTTACTGAGAACTCCATATCCCACAAGACAGTTAATTAATAGCGAGAGTTATAGAATAATACTGATAATGTACTTTTTAAGACTTCTCAGGATACGGTGTGGTAATTGATGTTGGTGCATTGCATATAGCCGCTCACAATCTGCACAAAATAAGTACAGTGCATGCCATTGAAGCTTTTGTTGAACTCTGCAGGCCTTATAGGTAGCAGTACAGTATTTGACAATTTGCAAATAATAATTCTACTTAACGTAAATACGAACCGATCAGCTTATTCATAAAGCCTGAAATACTACATTTGTATGTATTGCCACAACAGCCACTATTAGTCGATAATAAGCGAAAGATGTGGCTAGTTGATACAGGTAGATAACTTGCAGTTTATGTATTTGGTTCAACATCATTGTTCGACCAAAACAACAGTAGTTGAGACTTAAGAAGCTGCATAACCCCTAGGAATGAGAACTCAGAGAGTTCACCCTGTGCGCGGTAGTGACCGCAGTGGAAGTAAACTTCAAACTTCCGAGTTAGAAAACGAACAAAGTGAGTTGACGATGCTGGACTATAGAATAAAACGAAAACAAAGTTGGTTAAATGGGGGACCGACACATAACTAAGTACTTCGACTTTAGTTTAGAATCGGTAAAGATGTGCTTAATTATTGTCTTTGTAATCAGGCCAGGAGCCTTAACTAGTAGGGTAGAATATTTAACTAATGGGAGCAAACGAATACAGGAAATATTAGCGAATTTATTCAGAAATGTATGAAGAACCATAGAGAAACTAAGACTAGCAATAAGTGATGAAGATAATAGAATTCAAAGGCTTTGTAGTACTGCTGCATAGAGAAGGAACGTCAGAGTTCTTACTTAGGATTCTCAATGACGATGGGATTGGGGTGACAAACCGACTCTAAGAGATAAACTTTATCGGTCTAAGGATCCAATTGAGAAAATAATATAATTTACCAAGTAATGACTGAATTCAGCTAAATTTCTGAAACGTAAAGATTTAGCTGTACCTAGAATAATTGACCCTGCTAAGTTAAATAACGTAGGAAAAACCTAAACCATTGCATTCACTTGTATGTAATCACAAACTAGGGTGAAAGTAATGTAGTTAGGTGGAGAGGGAAGTTAACCACTGAAGCTTTGTCTATCAATTCAATACCACACACGTGCCATCGGAATGACGCAACGCCTATGCCGTTGTTACGGAAAGTAGCAACAAACAGCAAAGAGAAGTTGGAGTGACAGAAAATATATATAAGACAAATTGTGTAAACGTGTTACTAAACTGATATGATTATGAGCAATAATTTATGCTCGAAACGTTATCCAGTTGTTAATGCTGCATCACTGTGTGATATTTAAAATAAACCTATCTAATAGGGAATTACATTCCACCACAGTGCCTCAGTTCTACACTCACATTAATAAACTTTAGTTTCCCATCCTTAGACTTTAGTAAATCATCTTGTGGACATAAACGTCAGGAGGTGGGTTTCCCTTCATCCTATTATAAAGCGCATTAGAATAGCTGCTTTGCATGGTACAGGTTTCACAAGGTCTGATGACACAAAGGACAGGTTTCGGGACAAACACCGAAACCAGGAACAAAATACTTCGATGTCCAAGACATTTAACGTTCAAATAATGAATTACAGTGGGTCCCAACATTTTTCGACCTAATGTAGTGGAGTAGTTCAATACATTATGAGGACCTACTTTCGCCTAACTAGCACGTAATTGACGATATTAAACGAAGTGGGAAATAATCTCAGAGCCGCCAACAAATGTAAAATGATATGCTGTTAGCTGGTGCTTTCATGTGTATTTATGTCAATGAGGCTAAGGATGCCACCTAATGAGTAATATACTTAATTATACTTAAAACTACAGTTAAGTCGCGTCGGTTACAGAGTATTTCGGAAATACCATGCAGTAGTCTTAAATGTTTTTGATAATTAGGGGAAGCCATGTGAAAAACTGACGACTATTCGGTATTACTCCTTTTATTGGTAATCCACAATTCATTTGGGAATATTTCTAGTGTACTCTTGTGCGAAGTTCTATGTTAACCAGTTAGTTATACCACTTTGGGGAGTGGAGATTTAATCAAATGTTGGGAAACAGGAAAGCTTATTCTTCACTTTTCTAGTTGGCAGTATCAACTTAAAATTCACTTCTAAACTTCTATATTTAAAATAAACAAGGAACATGAAAAAGTTTATACAGTGGAAACGTATTAAGTTACACAGTATGTTCTATATATTCAGTTAAGACACTAACAGTTATTAGTAGTTTAACATCACAAAAGCTTATTTGCTCGATGACTGTCCGGCATATTCATTCTCATCATCTCGGGGGAAGTTTTCTTCATGGGAAGATTCTTTATTATTGGGTAGCATTGACGGCACATTGTGATCCTGAACAAGTGAAGCCAGCGAACCTGTAACGTTGAATCGGTAGCACACTGCCATTATTGGTAACATAGGATTGGCTGAACAACTGTATTTACATGAGTCGGTTTTCTTCCCACTGGTGGATTTTCCATTTTGAACCATAGTACTGCCGAAAACAGGGAGTGGAGAATTAAAAACGCTACGACTATCCGGTGGACACTTTTGATACATTTTCAGACTCTCTACATCAAATGCTATTCCTACTTGACATATTCCGCAATTGTTCATAACCGAACTGATGCACTGCTTCGGAAAATCCTGCTTGTATTTTGAATGATAGGCCAAAAGTCTTAAGAACTGTCGAATCCAACCACCATGGCTTACCTAGAAAAAAATAAGTATATCAGGAAGAATGGTGCAGACAAATTCGTATAAACAGTCATAATGATACAATTTAGGGAAGGTGAAAAGGTCCACATACTAACCTAGGGTATATGCAACTAAAGCACTGCGAGTTCTAATATATAATATAATGATTTATTGCCAATAATTTTTATTTCAGCTGTATAGGCATTTAATACTCCATGCATGGATAAATAACTAGATAACATTAATAAGATGGTCTTTTACCGATGAGGTAGAGTGCAAGAATCAGCAACTGAAACCGCTTCCCTCACCAAGTGTACTGACTATAGGAGATAGATTTCAACCACCGCATATTTAATATTATTAGTGAAGTGGAAACATCTATTTCCCGACATAAAATTTAAAACAAACAACAAATGTTAATAATGTTATTTATCGCATTCCGACTAATCTTAACTTTGCTCTACGAGTTCGCTTCTACAGACAGCTGAAGCAATCGGAATCCACCAGAAGAAACCAAGCCTATGTGTACAGAAGAAATTTGTATAGCCACTTTCCTTACCGTGGCCATCGTTACAAAACAGGACTATGTCGCCCCCCTCCCCCTAAACCTATTAAATTATAATTGCCCAAATTATTTTTATTTTGACCACTTCATCTTTAATTATGTGTTATTCTTGTAAAATTAATTTATTCTATCCATTTCTACCTTTTAAATTTGTATTGATTTTCTTCGTTAATTATCAACCCATTGACATTTTGACACTGACTAATTATTGTTAACAAACATATCACCACTTGTTTGGTAAATTGTTGTGTATTGTAAAAAATGCTATATATATTAGAGTAGAGCCAGAGATGAGGATCTAATTGAAAAGTAAATATTTCTTCGCTCAATCTTTCTGTTTTCTAAATGTTAATAAAGCAGAATTTAATGAAGATATAATATATATGAAAAATAGACCACACAGAAATTATACACCGCTAATACAGACAATTGAATTAAGGCATACAACTACAGTTGATAGTTAAACAAGAAATCCGGTTACTTGGGATTTTCTCTTATCTCGCAGTCATTACGTCAGCATACACATCATGACAAAAATCGAGTAGTCAGAATGACAAGTAAAAAGACTACATCTCTAAATACTTTGAATTTTTAAAAGTTGCATAACCGTTCAAGTTTTCAAAGTTGATGACATCACAGGAAAAGATACTGCTAAAATCAGCTACAGAACCGTTCACTTTGAACCAAGCGGCACTATGCTGCTTTGTTTCCAACGCTTTCTGGCTGACGTCAGTTTGTCTAGAACTTATCTAATTTTTATGAAACTAACAACGAGCATAAACACATTTATGAGAAGCCACTATTTTTGTCGACGGATAACTTGAAAAGCATGACTAACATCCGTCAAAATAAACTCAACTTAATTGTGAATATGTATTTACTGGAATCTAAGTGACGTGGCAATACAAGGCGTTTCATGAACGCATAGAAGGGAATTTGCACATAAGTACACTAAGTCAAAACACAAACACATACCTGGTAGACTAAACAGTTTATTTTCTGAATTTGAATAATCTAGGGTACAAGCCACTATAATGCCACTGAGGACTTCGCACGACAAGAATACCAAATTGGAGGCGCTTCTTGACGCAGTAGTCACATCCTAAGCTACAGATATTTTCTACACCTAAATAATAATTATTATCGAAACAAAAACTTGGTACATAATGGACACCAAAAGATGCGTCACACAAAATCTTATAGTTTGTGAGAGGACTGGTATACTGCTGAGACCGAAGCAGGTGGTTGTCTTAAGCGGCCACACCTCGAGTCTTTGCCTTGAAGTCCCATCTACAAGGCATTGGAGTATCATCAGGAGCTACTATCCAATTATTCCCGGACACTTTGATGCTATCTAATCCTTTCGAACTCTGGAGTCCATGTACACCATAGGTTTGGAATAAGGACTTCCCGACTCCCTTTGGTTGACAGCCTGTACACCAGTTCAGTGGTAGGTACCAAATGTCCGTATTCACCCTTTTTCTTTTGTGTGGAACGCCCCCATCTCATGAAGGTAGTGAATATGCTTTACGTGACAGGATAATATATATATATATATATATATATTATGACAGAGCACAAAACAGGTCAGGACAATACACAGCTCCATTTCCTGTCGTGTCTAAATGTCACTAGATAGGACAGTTATGAAAAGAATAGCTTGTTAATGTCGATTTCCATGCTATGATATTAGATCAACCTTGTTATGTAGAAAAATCTATGTAAGATTAACCTATATAAGGGCGATTATTTTACTGTCACTACTATCAACTTAACTCTTGGTACATATGAAATTGAGAAGAACAAAATCGTATAATTTAGAGCTAATGTGAAGTACTCTCAGGTAAATAATTATCATGAGATAGCTGGCGGTATACACAACCTCCTGTTGAACTTTGTTTAAAAAGGAGTTAAAACTTAAATCTTCAACTCACAAGTTACAATCTAACAGACAAAGGATTAACAGAAAATAAGAAGAGCTACAACATAATTCACATCAATGAAGACGAAAAACTAGTTAACGAGAAAAAGTTGTTCTGTTTCTATTCTGCTTGAATACATGATATGGTGATTACAGGTGTAGTTAAAAGTACACTGCAGCTATATATTTCATTTACAAACCCAACTTTTTGTTCACTTTAATACGAGTAAAGTTTTGTACAGGTAAGAAAAGCAATGAACGTAGGTTTCGATTTGTTCATCACAGACTACCCTGAGCACCGAAGATGCCTTTTTAACAAATTAATGAATACATTTAGTTAGCATAGCAGATTAGTACGAAAGTTAAACTTACAATAAGAATGTGTCCTGCGTAATTGATTGACGGAATTTCCGTACCATTCTTTGGAAACACAGTACAATTTTTTGTGATTATATCTTCCATTCGTGGTACATCAGTGGAACCTATAATCGGAAAACACCGATTATCGTTATGAATCACAGGCTTCTCCAGGAGACGAGAACACAAATCTAAAAGGAAGTCATGTGTTCGGCTTGCTAGCTATAATTTTTAAAAATACCAAACCACAAAAAAAAGAAATTGGTTAGAAATATTGCGGGAAAAATCAAGTCTTACAACCATCGCTCATGTTAAAACTAAAGTACTTAAATATAAGATACACCGGTATCCTTCGTTCGACAAAATCAAATGCTGCCTAGTCAACCAGATATACAATGCCTCTGTGGCAAGGAAAACACTACGTCAAACAATGAATCATTATAAGTACTATGTATTCCTAACCATAAATAACATTTCTATGCTGCAGGGAAAACAGACTAACAACATTCCTGTTAAACAACAAACGTTTCGTTGCATCTCATGAACGGCACGCAATCAAAAACAATGTCAATATCAATAAGTAAAATATCTTTCATTTCTTCGCGTTCAAGGTGGAACGTAGGGCGTTAAATTTGGAGTTTGAGTGATGATATTCTTTTCACGGGGTGAAGTTGCCAGCATTACACCCAATCTTTCCTGTTCCTGAGCTTTTTAGCGACTGGTCTAGGAGTGTGTTGGGTAGAAATCGTACCCCAACCTCCCACATGGATGGACCAACTGACAAGGACCAAGGAGAGAAGATAATATCATATCATACCACTCAATATTTTGTTCTTGGTTTGCTCAAGTTTGCCAAGAGAAAAAAAATGAATGAATAAAAAGTGTCACCAGAATGTGAATGGAAACAATATAACATAATAATCCAGTGTTCATGGTTAATTGTCAACCACATTAAAACAACCGGTATCACTTATGTTAATATTTCAAAGTTGATCTGATCAAGAACTGGTACCGTCTTAAGAATCACCAAGCGTCAGACAGCTGTTTCAACCTACTTTATGACTACTAATTAAAACAAATCCACAGTTTCTCAAGTCTTCGTACTTGAAATATTCAAAAGTTGAAAATATTACAGCATCAGACTGTGACCCACTGTCTCAATAATAAAAATTTTGCAACACGGTCTGCCTCTTTAGAGAGATATAAGGTGGGATGAATACGGTTAGTGCTCCTTGGTTTATAACGACTAATTAGTTGGTCCTATTTTCTGACGAAACCACTAACCTCGATAAATCCAAATAATCAGATGACTGATACTAAGAGCTCCTTATTATTATTGTTCCCTTGGGTTCCTAGTGGAACATAGGGCTTCAACTACACGTCTCCACTTGCTTCTGTCTTCTGCTGTACTTTTCACCTGCATCCATGTTAATCCATACTGTCTCAACTCTTCTTCACACAATCTCCTCCATGTCACCATTGGACGTCCCACTCACCGCTTCCCTTTCGGGTTCCACTCGAGCACTGGCCTGACGCGCGATGTCACCCAGCGGCCTCCTCAGCGAGTGTCCAATCCATCTCCACTTTCTCCTGCATATTTGTTCAGCGATTGGTTCTTGTTTTGTTTGTTCCCATAGTTTCTTGTTGGTGATTCTTTCCGGCCATCTGATCTTGAGTATAGAACGAAGACAGCTGTTGATAAAGGTTTGCAACCTGTTGGAAATATTCTTTGTGACCCGCCAAGTTTCTGATCCGTATAGAAGAACTGACTTGACGTTTGTATTGAAAATCCGAATTTTGTTGTTGATGCTGAGTTGAATGACGAAGATTTCCAGATTGGTTTCAGGTTGATGAATGTGTTTCTCGCCTTCCCGATTCTCGATTTGACATCCTCGTCCGTTCCTCCTGTAGTTGAGACAATGCTCCCTAGATAAGTGAATGAAATAACCTCTTTCAAATCCCTCTCGTTGATGGTGATTGGCGCTGGATGTTGCTGCTGTTGTTGTTGTTGGTTGGTTATTCTCATAACATCCGTCTTGTCTATGTTCACCTGGAGTCCTGTCTTTGCTGTTCTTCGACCAATTTGTCGGTTTTTGCTTGTAAGTCTTCGATTTTGTGTGACATTAAACATAAATCATCCGCGAAATCCAGGTCTTCTGAAGAATCTAGAAGATCTGGATTTCGCGGATGAGGTTAACTTTTAAACAAAAAGCTGACTTTCCATTGAATTAAGAAATTTTTATTCTTCACGGACCTGTAAATCTTATTTCGTAAAACAAAATGTGAATATAATTACATTAAACATTCATCATTCTGATGATCACATCAGTTATTTTGTCTAGTATGATATTAACCGGAGAAAATGTTACAATATATATACTACCCAGAGTCTCAGTACCTAGAAAATGATACCGGACTACCATTGCCAGACTTCTGCTATCATACGCTTTCTCAAACGACTGACCTACATAACCTTTCAGAAAAGTCTTATTAACTATCGCTCTACAAACGGAACACCCAAAAGTAATATTTAACGCTTAAGTCACATATAAAGCGACCATAAAGATAACCCTAAAACACCTACACTGCTATTAATACTGAACAAGTCAGCATCATTTTAAAAGAATGAATGATTTCATTTTTTTAACCTTAATTTACTATAATGCAGCTTCTAACTTTGTTCCTACAACCTGGAAACTTGGATTTTTAGTTACAGACCTGTACTTTTTGTCATAAATCGTTATACGATAATTATTACTCACTAAAGTTCAGACTGGAACATAGAGCTTCAACAGTAACATCTTACCTTCATCCTGTTTTCTCATCTTCTTTAGTTGGCTCCACGACTGTGCGTAGGCTTTTATATCCTTCTCACAAGACCTCCTCCATATCACCGTCGGACGCCCAATCTATAGTTTTCCTTTTTTTATGTCTAGTGGACTGGATTTCCAGACTGACTTCAGAGTAATGAAGGTCTGTCTTGCCTTTCCGATCCTGGTTTTGACATTCTAACCCGTGCCCTCCTGCAGTTGGAACGATGCTGTTTATGTAAGTGAAAAAGTTGACTTCATTCAGATGCCTACAGTCGAAGGTAATTGACCCCTGCTGTTGGTCGTTGGGATTCTTCATCATCTATAACTTTTCTCTGTTCGCTTAAAGTAAAATCTTCGCCGCCTATACTACAAACTTGTTGGCTTTTGCCTGTAGATCTTCATACATATGTGACATTCAAAATAAGTTGTCCACAAAACCCTGTCTTCTCGCTCCCCACAGTTTACTGTATGATCCAGTCCACCACAAACACGAATATCATCGGTAATAGCAGGTAGCTTCGTTTTACTCAAGTCTTCACTTGGAAGGCTTCGCTGAGGTTTCCACTGGGAATTGCTTGATCTGTGTATGAGTTGTGTCTCCTCAATCCATCTCCTATCCGTTGAAGTCTTCCAGCTAGGACGTCTTTTAGTCGTCCAAGGATGATGCGGTTTGGATGAAGTGAACGGGAGCACGATTCCGCGCGAGGTCTTGAATGGGCTTAAGTTGCTCTTCTTTAATGGTTCAACAAGGTAACCTTTCTTCCCATCAGCAGGTGGCTTCCTTTCTTTTCAAACTTTTTTAATACTGGCGTGAGGATATCCACTGAGGTGTCCGGATCCATTTGTGTTTTTGGAGGAATCCTATCTGCCCCTGCTGTCTTCCTGGCCTTTAGCAGCTTCGTGGCGTTCAGGACTTCTACTTTTGTCAGAGGATTGTCTTTTATTGACAGTTCTGTGGCTGCTGCTGGTATTTCTGAACGAGTTGTAAGCACTTTGAAGTGATCAGCCCATAGTTTGTTTCTCCCCTCTGGTATTCAGGTTCCCTTCGCTATCTTTCGATGATTTTATCTGTGTTGACTTGTTGACACTAGAACACAACAGCTAAAGGTATATCTAAAAAATGGATCGGAGCTCATGTATTACCTATGAGACAACCCTGCAACACAATGGTTCAGTGTCAGTTATACTGAACCATAGTTTACCGTTGATTTAAGAAACTCTAAAACCACTTAAGTCTAATTATACATCTCTCAGTAGGAGTTAACCTTAAGACGTTTGAAAGCCCAAACACAGAAGTTAGGTTGTAGAAAGCGATACACGATTTCATTATGGGTAAATTTTTTATTTTGATAAAGTCTCACAGTGTTATAGAGTAATATATACTGATGACGTTTCGAGCACAATTTATTGCTCATAATCATATCAAGGTACTCACACAACTTTCGAACTTCGTCTATATAATTTCATTATTTTTCATGGCTTGATTTGATTGCTAGTAGTATTTTCCATATTTCCGGTATGAGTTATGGGTCATTCATACTGTACGTGTTGCGTGTAGACTCAGTGAACAAGGATTTAGTAATCAACCTCTTTCTCTCCATCTACCTATTTTACTTCTTAGAATTTTAATCCTCTCCCACCCTATTGTGTGGTTGTTTGTTAGTGTATGCATTACAATCACTGAGCTTTTTTCTAAATTACTCATCTTCTCGGGGTCAACCATACTCACCTTGGCTAAATTCTTATGTTCCGACAATCTGATTACCCCCGATCTACTAGTTTGACCACAGTAGTTGACCTGACTCACAGTCATTGCAATGTATTTTGTAAATTATATTAATTTGTCTAATTGGGTCAACTGGGTCCTTTAGCCTACAGAGCTTGTCCCTGAGTGAGTTTGTAGGTTTAAATGCCACTCTAATTCCTCCTTTATTAAGAATCCTCCGCAGGGTCTCAGATGTCCCCCTCCTTATATGATAGAACTGTAAATGCCTTATATTCTCTCTTATTTATGTTTCATCATTAGTTTCCCCATTTGTTCATCGAATCTACACTCAACACCTGCAATAGGAGTGACTCATCACTCATACCGGAAATATGGAAAATACTACTAGCAATCAAGTCAAGCGATGAAAAATACTGGAATTATATAAACGAAGTTGGAAATTTGTGTGAGTACTTTGATATGATTATGAGCAATAAATTGTGAACGAAACGTCATCAATAAATATTACTCTATAACACTGTGAGACTTTATCAAAATAAAAATTTTACCCATAATGGAATTATACTCTACCACAGTGCACAAGTTTTATTCTTATATCAGCGATTACACGATGTCTACAAATAAGTAGAGCAAACACTACAAACCCTTCTACACTTTTGACATAAATTCAATGTAAACAAAAAACATAACCTCATGTGGACATTCTCCGCCGACACTGCGCCAGCCATCACACTCTTGTCCAACCTGGAAATCTGACTCCGTGAACTTCTGAACCTCAGACCACGTGCGACCAGTAAGTGATCCAAAATTCTATTACAAACACTGATTACAAGATATGTGATCATACTCTTTCACGAAGCCGTGGTTCAACTTCAACAACTTTAGCATCAATTATTTCATATGCTGTCTAAAAAGAAAAGTGAAAGACAATCTTAAGAAGATAGAAAGCTAAATAAGATTGAAATATGCATACATAAAAAATATATCGGAAACAGTGTACAACAAAACCACTTATATGTTTACAGTAGAACTAAAAGCGCTTCAAAGCTCAATGATACCTTATTCACATATTACTTTTCTTATTCTCAAACGCCTTGATAATGACTACCGAAAGAATAGACTATTCCTTTTCTCTTGATATTCTTTCGCACAGTTATAAATTTGTAGTCTCTATCACAGAAGTCGAATACACTTTCATATAGTTGATGTGTTCTCCACAGAATGAAAGGATGATGACAGAAAAAAATAAACTTAGTGGATTAGAGAGATACACTTAAAAGTTGAGATGCTATGATCTTAAACTAATAGTTGAACTTTGTACAGATGCGCAGCAGATCAATTAATGAAGGTGTAGAATTTCGGCAGTACGCTAGAATATAATTCCATATTAAATAAGTTTATATATATATATATATATAACTGTTTTATGTTTGTACCCCTTAGATCTCATGCATCCATTTTTGAAATGTGTTATTCACAATCTTTCCAATGGCTCTTTTTAAGCTACCCTTCCGTTCTGAAGTAAGCCTTGTTCTAAATTTAAAGTTTTATACATACACTATAATGCACATTGGAAAGCCTTTTTTTTTTGATGTATGCCGCATCTTCATAATCTAGCAAACAAGATTTCGGCAAATTGCTTTACATAAATTCACCATCAGATAGCTCATATAGATGCCTTATTTATGTTCATCTTAAAAGCCGCGAGGTATCTAAAATGCGAGAAGAACATCTAGTTCAGAAACTGACCAATCAAAATTTACTTGACATTGTTAAGAGACACTAACAATTGCTAGTGTAGTGTCACAGTGTCTAGTAAAACAGAGATCGGACAGTATCATGATATCCTTGCATAAATCCTGTCTAGATTCTGATAGAGGCTTGTCTTAGTCGGCATCGTCTATGTACACTGAAATAAAATTATATGGACTCACTATAAACGACATGTTGCTAAGTCATTCGAAAAAAAAACAGGATAATGAGAGAACTAGTACTTGGGAAAATTTATTTTAATGTATTTCAATAGCCTAGCTACATGTCAGTTAATTTTAGTCAACTATATGTCCCATATATTAGGGTAGAAATGGACACCAGTGGAGTAGATATTTGTGAGAGAGTTAAGAATAGGTGCGACAACAGTAGATTTATTTATGTTGTGAAAGTGTCAAAGTTACTAAATTTATAAATGCATTTTTATTTGTGTAGCAGGGGCTTGGACAATGTAGTAGAATACAATTCGATATTATATTAGTTTTATTTGATATATTTCACACAGTTATATTAATAATTGCATTACTATTTGAACTAACGAACGGAGGACTGGAAGTCATTAAAAATAAAGTTTTGTGGAAGGGTAAATATAGTTCCTTACAACGCACCAAGTGTTTTGTACTATTGTGGTGAGAGCTTGTTATAACTGTAGGGGAAATTAAATGAGGACGTTGTCGCCTTGTTCTGTCTGCACCTGACTAATATGCCTATCTGCTTCTGGTACCTTCCGATTCAGCGAACCACGCAAATATCAAAAGACAAAGTCTAGTCTGTGACTGTGTATTGTAGTACAACAACTACGACAAACTACGACGACGACAAATAAACTTATTTAGGAAATGGTATTTTACAACCAATACAGACAGCTAACAGTATTTGAAATAATTGGTCATAATAGTCAATAACAAAATGCGTGGGAATGATGATATACCACATATACGAGATTAACAGTCGTTAAGATAATTGAACAATAACAAAGTGCCTGGGAAATGATAATATACCACTTATGCGAGATTAACAGTTGTTAAAATAATTGAACAATAACAAAGTGTATGGGATCCTATCACCTCTCCCCGTTAAAAGTGTAGGACTTGCTTTTTGGTTCTATTTGAAAAGGTTTTGGAACTCTTCTTTATCGAGTTGACCTTCGCGTGGTACTGGATAGAATGTGATCTGCGTCCCGGGCTTCCGGCTGCGGAAGGACTTGGCGTCGTACGATCATGCAGCAAGAATCTATCCAAAATTTCTTCTGTTGTTCCCTCCCCCTTCGGTTTTGCATAAGCAACTTGGGTAAATTTGCAGCAACCAAGTTTGTCCTGGAAGACAGAAGCATGCTTTTGACGCAGGCGTTGTAAGAGAGACTGATCAGATACATGTCCGGGAACAACATTATTTGGTGAGGACGAAACATTAGAGCATACTGAATTTAATGGTACATTGAAGATATGGAGCTTGTCTAACCAGTCAAGACCAAGCAAATTCAAATCATGGTAGTTTGTGACGTAACATACACCATTGAACTGATTCTCACCAAACTGAACCTGGCAATTTATCTCACCCACGAGTTTCAGTAGATCTCCAGAGGCATTCTTAGCGACATGCTCGGTCGGCAGAATCTGTGGGCAACCAAGTTTGCGCCACGTAGTTCGGGAAATTAAGGTGATATCTGATGCCGTATCCAACTGAAGACGAATAGATTTGCCGTTAATACGTAGTGTAATGTACTTAAGTTTGCTGGCGAAATCGACTTTGGAAGTTGTGAAAATGGTCTGTACTCGAGGAGATTGTTTCGGCTTGAAACGACTACTTCTCTTCTTCACCGAAGAATTTTTCTGTGGTGGACAGTAACCCTCTTTATGTCCAAAACGGTGACAATTACGGCATTATTTGACGGACAGAACTTGACAAAATGCCACGAACCACAGTGCCAGCACACTGAAGGAGGTTTAGCTGAATTCTGAGACTGACGTGCTGTGTGCTTAACGGTGATCGGAGGACTTTTCACTGTGTTAATTGAACCAAATTCAGACGACTGTCGTTTGCACTCCACCATAGCAGTATCGTGCTTCAAGTTGATTAAGCGTTGGCATTCTGCTGTCACCATTTGTAAAGTCATTTTCGGGTCTTGTTCCACGAGTGACAGAAGTCGAGTTCTTATGTCAGTATCTTCTGGGTTCTTCAACCGACAAATAAAAATCAAACACTTGAACTGGTCTGATGTCATTTCATGTGGTTTGAACCTTTCGCATTCCTTGTTCACTTTGCCAGCGTAAGTAACATAATCATCGGAAGGCATTTTTGTCAACTGAAAACATTGATACCGAATATTAAACATGGATGACTGTTCATCAAAGATTTGTGACAAAACGGTGACTGTCTCATCGAATGATAATTCATGTGGGTTCTTAGGCAGAATGAAGTTAACATATTTGTTGTGCTCAACAGTACCAAGTTTTCTTAGTAACAATCGGACTCTCGCAGTATCATCAAACATGTAGCATTCAATACGGAAAACGTCTTCATAACGATTGAACCATGCATCAAATACGAGACCAGATATTGGGTCGTAGTTAAACTCACTGATGGAATTTGAGATGCTTTCATTTTGTCTGAATAAGATGTTGATGGAACTTGAATGGACAGCTTCTGAGTGAGAGCTTCGATTAATTTCAGTTGAGCTGCTTCATTCTGAACTTGCTGCTGCTGCAAGATAGATTTGAGATCGTCCAGAGAGATAGACATTGTAATTGGTTTGTAATTAACACAGTCAAAAATGTTCTATAGCTGCGCTGAACAGAATAAAACCCGTCGTTGCTTGCTTGTTATAACTGCAATGAATGAAAGTAAACCCCGTCGCCAATTTGTTGTAGCTGTAGGGGAAATTAAATGAGGACGTTGTCGCCTTGTTCTGTCTGCACCTGACTAATATGCCTATCTGCTTCTGGTACCTTCCGATTCAGCGAACCACGCAAATATCAAAAGACAAAGTCTGGTCTGTGACTGTGTATTGTAGTACAACAACTACGACAAACTACGACGACGACAAATAAACTTATTTAGGAAATGGTATTTTACAACCAATACAGACAGCTAACAGTATTTGAAATAATTGGTCATAATAGTCAATAACAAAATGCGTGGGAATGATGATATACCACATATACGAGATTAACAGTCGTTAAGATAATTGAACAATAACAAAGTGTATGGGATCCTATCAGAGCTGGCTGCTAGCCTAAGTTGGTAGACAGTAATTGACGTCAATGTTTATGTCCCCAATATTGGTGGTGAGAAAATGAGAATAAAGTCTTAGCGTAGGCGGATTCAGTTAGCATATGGATGATCTGACACAGCCACACGAGATGCAGGGTTAACTTTCTGTGAGAAACAACCAATCAAAAGCCTGTATTTTCTACTAACAAGAATGTACATTAAAATCTATAAATATGTGTTGATTCTCCTTAGTAAACGATCTGTTGCCTGGCCCTTGTCTTCTGTTGTTACACTATTATTGACGGATATGCCATCAACTGAAGTCCTATAATAATCCTTCGATATGAGAGAAGAATAGATGGAAATAATGAAGAGTTGGAAGAATAGTGAATTAGTTCAAGCTGTTATGTCCGTTCAACACTTACCAACTTGTCTCATTTTCGGGGTCGGAAAGATATCCGATTACCCATCAATGTGTTTGTATGCGATGCAGCAGTTTTAATTCTATTTTACAGCGATGAGCCATGGAGGCTGAACGTAGAATATATGAAAAGGCTACATGATTTTGACGACAGATGCTTCCGTTTAAATGATCGTCTTACGTGGACAACATGATAAGTAATGTAAAGAATGTAGAGAGTATGACCTAGACGTATAAGAGGATCAGAGAGTTTGTCAAGCTTCAAGAACTCATATGGTATGATAAACGACTTTCTTCCTTCACGAATAATGTTAGCTGAAGTAAGATGAGATTTGTAAAGAGTTAAGAACAAATCCATTCAACCACTGATTGCTGGTCTGAATAAAATAGGGAATTGCAGATTTCTTGGTTGTAGTCCTTGAGATTTTAATGACCAACAATTGGAGATTCAGTTAGATGGTTCTACATTGTCCACAATGGCATAGAAATTTTCAATGTCATTAAACTTAATTAGACTATTTTTTTATTTTCAGTGCATCGACAAGCAACAAAAACAGGAGTTGAGTAAAGAAGAGTGCCAGGGAAGACAAAAGAAAGTATTATGAAACCATCGCAAGTGAAGCGGAACAAGCTGCAAACAAAGGAGACCTCGCAACACACTACCAAACAACTAGGTTCCTATCAGGGAAAACGTTCGACACAAATTAAGCCAGTGAAGGTTGACAATGAGAAGTCAATCACCAAAGAGGTGGATCAAAGGAAACACTGGGCTGAACACTTCAAAAGACTTCTAAATCGACCACCACCAACAATGAACCCAATAATACCAACAGCGGGGGCAGAACTACCAGTGGACATCAACCCTCCGAAGGGAACAGAAGTCCTGAAGGCAATCAAGATGCTAAAAACTGGAAAAGCAGCAGGACCAGATGGAATTCCAGCAGAAGCATTGAAAATGGACCCAGCGACAACAGCAGACTTGATGACAACACTACTGGAGGTGTCGAAAGAGAGCAAAGTACCTGCGGATTGGAAGAAAGGCTACTTATTCAAACTGCGAAAGAAAGGAGGCTTAAGTCAATGCAAGAATTGGCGCGGAATTACGCTCCTGTCCATCCCAAGCAAAATACTAAGCCGCATCATCCTGGAGAGAATCAAACATGCCCTGGATGAAAAACTTCGACTGGAACAGGCTGGATTCAGGAGAAACAAGTCATGCATTGATCAGGTCGCCACATTACGGATCATCATTGAACAAAGCTTGGAATGGCAGTCACCTCTCTATCTCAACTTCGTCGACTTTGAAAAGGCCTTCGGCAGTGTCGATCGAGAGATGATTTGGCAACTGCTTCGCTACTACCGGGTGCCGCCGACAATTATACATCTCATCCAACAACTGTACGACAATACTGCATGCCAAGTGATCCACAACGGGAAACTTACGGAATCCTTCAAAGTGAAGACAGGAGTAAGACAAGGCTGGCTACTATCGCCAATGATTTTCCTGATTGCAGTAGATTGGATAATGCGACAAACAGCGGGCAATAAGGAAACAGGCACAAAATGGACCCATACAAAAAACTTGGAGGATCTGGACTTCGCCGATGATATATGTCTGACTTCCCACAAACTGGAAGATATGCAAGCGAAAAGCAACAAGTTGGCAGAAGAAGCATCAAAGATAGGACTTCAGGTGAACATAGAGAAAACAGAGGTGATGAAGATTCCTTGGCAACACCACCAACAGCAACAACAACAGACAACAATCAGCATAAATTGGTGGAACCTGAAAGAAACAACCTCCTTTACATACCTGGCAAGCATCGTTTTAACTACAGCCAGAAGTGACGAGGATATCAAAGCGAGGATCGGAAAAGCAAGACAAGCTTTCACTACTCTTAAGTCTGTGTGGAGATCAACAGCACTCAGCATGAAAATGAAAATAAGATCCGGATTTTCAACTCCAATGTGAAGTCAGTGCTACTATATGGATCAGAGACTTGGAGCGTCATGAAGAGCAACTCAAACAAACTACACACCTTCATTAACAGTTGTCTTCGCTCAATACTCAAGATCAGATGGCCGGCCAGAAAAGATCAGCAATAGAGATCTCTGGCAATGAGCGAACCAACGCAGCAGGAACCGATTGTGAAACAAATAGGCAGGAAGAAATGGAGATGGATTGGCCATACTCTGAGGAAACCATCAAGTGACATCACTAGACAAGCCATTGCTCGAGTGGAACCCGAAAGGGAAGCGGCGAGTTCGTCGTCAGTGTGAGGGTGACTTGGAGGAGGTCATGTGAAGAGGAGATGAAAGCATATGGACAGACTTGGAGCCAGGTGAAAACTCTAGCAGAGAACCGAACGCGCGGCTGAAGCCCTATGTTACTCTAGGAATTAAAGGAAGCAATAATAATAATACAGTGAATCAACCTGTTATGGTTGTGTGAGTGACCTAATATGATTATGAGCAATAGTTTGCGCTCGAAACGCCATATTACTGTATAACACTGTGTGATTTATCAAAATAAAATCTTATCTATAATGATGTTATTGTAATGTTTTTCGTTTTTTTAAATGAAAGCCCTACATTGATTTGACAATCACTTAATTAGTTATGTTTACAAAAATCACAAGGTAAAACAAGTTATTGAACGTAAAAATAAAAGTGAGTAAAACTTATTAAAGCCAGAAAAAAGACAAGTTGAAAATCTTTTCTCCATTCTTTCGAATTCCGACTAGAAAATAGGGCTTTGAACTGCTCAAGTTTGAGTAGTGGCGATTTTTCTACATGGTAGGGATTATTAGCCTAACGTCTAACTTTCCCTCCTTCCCGATTTTACTATCGGCTAGTAAACTGGGCGAGGTTTCCTAGTGTCGGCCGGTAATTGAGCCGGAACCACCTGCCTCATTGGCAAATATACCACCTGTGAACCAGTGGATTCAGGATTCAAACCGACGTACTTCTAATACAGGTGACTCTTTTATTTGCACAAAAGTAAACCAGCTCAAATGGTCACACTTCGAAGCAACATAAAGTTTGGCGTGAAACATGCCCCTGTCAGATGGGGTGCTACATGACGGGTCTGCACCGACTCTGAGTTTCAGGATAGGTAGTGGAATGTTTGAATGTGCTACTTCACTTATTTAGGCAGTTGCATCAGCCATACTGAGCTGATTGTTGAGGAGATATCAGGAGAGATATAAAAGGTTCAATTGGCAACCGCACAACATTACAAACGGCTTTTATGTATCGAATCTGCTCGTAGATTAGAATATGAAAACCCATAATGAATGAGTAGCAGCATAAGCCCTATTGTTATTATTATTATTATTACTATTACTATTGTAACGACAGAAGGCAAGAGTCAGGCAACAGATCATTTATTAAGGAAATCAACGCATATTTACATATTTTCATGTACATTACTATGGATATTTAAGCAAACAAACACAGTCTTCCGATTGGTTGTTTCTCACGTAAAGTTAATCTTTCATCTATTTGTGACTGTTTCTTGGATGTCAAATCCTCTATATTTTAACTGCATCCGCCTACGCAAAGTCTGCTGTGGTCGGTTTTGAATCAATCTTTGTTCACATTTTCTCACGACAAATCTTGGGTACGTAAATATTGACGTAAATTGCTGTCTACCAATTTGGCTAGTAGACAGCTCTCACCACACTATTATTATTATATTATTATTATTATTACTATTATTATTATTGTTACTATTATTGCTATTATTATTATTGTTATTATTACTATTACTATTATCATTACTATTACTATTATTATTTGTTATTATTATTATTGTTATTATTATTATTGTTATTACTATTATTATTATTATTATTATTATTATTATTATTATTATTATTACTGACTCATATAGAGATGAAAGTTTGCCAAACTTATCACTAACAATTGTTGAAATGTCCTTGTGAAAAAAGGCTACATTCTGAATTAGTTGCAGGGTCATACCTATCTGAGAATAAGCACCTGATACACTTTTATAATCTCCATAACTTTTACTTCCACATATTAGAAAGCACATGAAGACAGTTAAAAAGGGAATGTGATATGTTGAATGGAAATTTAATAATCGACACAAATAACTAAGATATAATGAAAACAAATTTAAAGATGTCTATGAAAAGTTTACAACTTACAAATCTCGCCCTCTTCAAATCACTTGAAATAACAATATCTGGTGCACTTTGTTTGATGCATGTCCGAACATTTCTTGCCTGTTCATATCCACTGTCTGACAGATCTGTATCTAAATGACCTACAGAACAAAAATTTATTAGAAAATTGAACAAACCTTGGATTATTCTGTTTTTATTTTCGGTTGTTTCTCCACTACAATATATTTCATTATAAAATCAATTCCTACTGTCGTAGAAGAGTGACATAAAAATATACGATTTCTTGTCTCATGTTCAAAATGTGAAGGCAAGACGGTGGATTGCTAGTTTATTGGAAGTTGAATAGAAGATGCAGATAGTTCTCTAGAAGACAGAAGGTTTGGTGCACGTGTCAGTTTATAACCTCTCCTTCCACCTTTTTGATAACTTATAAGCTTTGTTTCACAAAAGAAGAAAAAGTGACAATTGATTAATAGATAGGAGACTGAAAAAGAACACAGACACAAAAACAAGCCACGTTGAAGTCAACATTAATATGGCTAACGATGAATACAAAAATTACTGTGGAGAAAGACAAGTCACATAGCAGCTAGACACTCCCAAGTTCACAGGAAATAAATAAATTTCACATGGTTGCTGATCATGATCATGTGGCTCACAAATATAACAATGTACAACCTCACACAAAAACAAACCAATCCAAATAGTTACCGTTTTGAGCTGCATATATACAAATATATACATACATATATATATACATATATATGATGGTTAAACTACAGCACACAGGTTATTGTCAGTCCAGAAGTGAATTTTGAGCTCAAAGATAAGTCCTAGATATACAACAGAAAGTCCACAGAAACAAGCCACACAAACTCCTAATATTTTGTAACTTCACCACACCGGTTAGATGAAGTTATAGAAATAAGGACGTTTGAGTTTTCATGTGTATTTTCACAGATATAACACCGAAAAGTCACGATACTATAATTTAGGTAAGCCCGGCTTATTTACCGAATTTGACGTTCGAAGGAGCAATGTGAAGTCATTAGAAAAGGTCACATAGAGAAGAAATAAACAAACCATATAAGGAATAGTACTGACATCAGGAGAATTTAATGAAGTCTGAAAAAGCGAAGGTGGGTGGTGAACAGAAAACCTTTGTATGCACTTAGTACTTTACAGATTCTTAACATTGTGCTAAATGAATTTTATTGGTGAACTATGACAAGAGGGAATACTTCTGCATTACCGTGGACACTGGACGCCTCTTTCTGAGGCCTGCAACACGTGGTTTGATTTCAGGTGTCGGAATTTCCACTTTGTCATCAGCTAGAGAAAAATAGAAAGTAAAGTAGTCTGTACAATCTTCAAGGTCAATCTTTCCCGAACCTTCTCTCTAAAGCAAAATTACAACGCTACTGGTTGCCCTAAGCAGACATCCGGCTACCGCTAGACTCCTAGCCACCAGTAATACAACTGTCTAAGACACTCATTACAGTGAAAACAGCCTATGCTAAAATGGAAACTGCTTCTAGTCTAACCACTATGCATTTCATGTTATAGTAGGATCTACACAAACACTCGTTTCAGCTAGTATAGCTTGCTGAGTTGTTCTAACGACATATTCAAGATAACAGTTGTCCGTCGAGTAAATTACTTAATTTTTTTGTCCTAATTTAAAACAATTCAGTTTGAGTAACGGATCTAAAACAACTGTGAGGTTTCAAAATCCAAACACTATCACCATACACTGTTGATAATCGTAGGACTTATAAACAGTAGTAATAATGCTGGTGTCGAAACCAGCTTTGCTAGTCTAATAAGCACGATTACGTTTATAAGTGCTTAGAGTCTAATTCAGTAGTTAAACAAATTCGTATGGAATTATAGATATAATGCGTAACTAGACGTTAATTTATTTAGAGGTCAATAGGAGCTCGTATGCTGCATGTCAACATACCATTTTTGGAAGTGACAGGGTAGACAGTTATCACTAATTTGACCTCGTTCGTCACTGTACAAATACACAGAATTCTCAAATAATTGAGTGGAAGACGTCATTGACATGTTGGATCATTAGGCATATCAACATGTACTGTGATGATTGAATATTCTCATATATAATGTTATGTGATGTCAACGACTAACTTAACTTTTTACTGTATCATACATTTCCTCTACGTTCAGTGATTTATTTTGCTTTCCACAGGATTGAACAACTAAATATTTTGAGAAGACTAACTGAATGGTTCCTGCTTTTGGAAAGGAAATATTAAGACACTACACGTAACAGGAATTCACTAAAATTTGTGAAGCTTCACGGTTATAATTATCTGGGGAAGATATAGACTGATTGACTGAAAAAATTTCGTAACTTTTGACAAATATGAATGGTGTGCATTACTGATCAAAAATATCGTTTCTGATATCTTCACTAGGTTCCACAGTTATGTTTATAGCAATTACAGAATTATTGTTATTAAGAATACTAATGTTTCGAATAACATGAAATCAACAATATCAAAAGATTGCAGCTGAAAATCAACTATACATGGTAATACTCATCAATATAACACTAAACTGAATATCAGATAAATTCAGAAATATAATCTATAGGTTTTGCAGCAGGCCAGGTTGACAATAGTAGTTGGATTTGTTTCTTTCGCAAGCTATGCTCCAGATGTTTTAAGGCAACTGCTACAGCCTCAAATGTCTGAAGTACTTAATATGTAGACGCCTTTGACAGTTTACTGGCCACAAAACAAATGACAGAAAAAGATTCTTTGCTGTTAGTTTTAACCGAGCCTAGTTTGCTAGCTTTACAGCCCGTCCTAAGCCCAGTTAAAAAAAGGAGTGTTTGGCGTGGGGCTAGTGACCGTACACCACAAAACCAAGCAAACTGCTACAGAAACTTCAACGCACAAGAAATACACTAAAAATACAAAAACATTCAAATAATAATCTCATTCTTCGATCGAATCGGAGAGACGAAATGACACATCAGGCTGTCGAAAGTCTTCGGGAAGCAAGTCAGCCGATGTGTCTTCCTATGAAAGCGAAAATACGAACGGGCACGTGGGATGTTCGCAAAATTTACGAAGCTGGGAAGGCTGCCCAAATTGCCGAAGAAATGAGGACATACGGAATAAAAGTGCTAGGAATCTGCCAAAGCAGGTAAAATCGACGTGGACTGGAGTATCAACAGTCTACTCTGGTCACTCACACGACAACCATGAGCACACTGAAGGAGTGGCTACCGTGATGTCACACACATCAGAAAAATGTCTTATGCAGGGGGACCAATCCCCTCCAGGATTATGACAGCGAAATTCAACTCAAAATGAAGATTACAACTATCCAACGCTACAATCAACTTAGAAGAGGAGAATTTGGTAGATTTCTAATGGACAACACACGAAATAGTGATATCGAATTCCCGAAGTTTACTATAAATGCTCAACTGGGAGCAGACAACAGGAAGAGAACTCAAAATAGGTCGAGAGGCTCTCGACGAAATGAATGATAACGCATAACTCTGCACAGATTTCTGCGCCTTCATTTAATTGGTGATTGGAGGCAGCATGTACAACCACAAGGACATACACATAGTAGCGTGGATTTCACCTGACGGACACACCACAAACCAGATAGATTTCATCTCAATGCTGCTCAAGGAAGTGGAGACCCATCCTGCTGGACACAAAGTCTAGGAGGGGGACAGATGCGGGCTCAGACCATCATCTAGTTCAAGGAACCTTCAAGGTGAAACTGAAACCCATGAAAACAACTGGAGATACACCATGGCTCAAGTTCATTATTCAGAAACTGAAGGGATGCCTTCGCAACAGATCAGAGCAAAGTCGGACACACTAAGTGGCTTCACTGAGGAAACCTGTGTGGAAGAACATTTGAACTCTCTGAAAGCGATATTTAAGGAAACGTGTACAACTGTTCTAGGAAGAACGAAGAGACAAGACAAGGAATGGCTGTCAATGGATACCTGGAAGCTAATAGAAGCAAGAGGTTGGTGAAAGGGAAAATGCAACAATGCAAAAATGGACAAAAGAAGGAGAAGCTGAGTTCAATGTACACTGAGCTGAATAAAGAAGTGAAGAGTGCTAGGAAAGATAAAGGACAATTCTACAACACACTGGCAAATGAAGCAGAACAGGCAGGTCGTAAGTAAAAGAGACCTTAGAACATTCTATCAGATAAACCAGGTCTCTATTCGAGAAGACATCAACCCAGATGATGAAACCTACAAAAGATGCTCAAGGGAACCTGATCACCAAGGAGGAGAAACAAATCAAACAATGGGCTAATCACTTTAAAGGACTCTTGAATCGACCACCACTGGCAACTCGCCCAGAAATACCACCAACAGCACACACGGAAATGTCTGACAGTGGACACCAATCCTCCAACGAAAGCAGAAATCCTGAATGTTATCAAGTTACTGAAGTCCGGGAAGGCAGCAGGACCAGGCGGCATTCCTTCCCAAGCAGTGAAGACGGCTCCAGAGATTACGGCAGACGTTCTCACTACATCACTGCAAAAAGTTTGGAAAGAGGGAAAGGTGCCTACTGATTGGAAGAAGGGCTACCTCGTCAAAACTGCAAAAGAAGGGCGACTTAGACCTGTGCAAGAACTGACGTGGAATAATGCTCTTATCCACGTCAAGTAAAATATTAAGTCACATCATCCTGGAGGGAATAAAGGATGCACTGGATACAGAACTCCGCCCGCCGAAACAAGCTGGATTCCCGAAAACCAAATCCTGTGGTGATCAAATCGCAACTCTACGAATCGTCATCGAACAAAGTATAGAATGATGGTCAAATCACTAACTCAACTTCATTGACTTTCAATTGACCTTTGACTGCGAAGTTACTTGAAAACTACTTCAATATCATGCAGTGCCCCAAATCTTTATCAACCTCACTCACCAAAAATATGACAATGCCACGTGTCAGATGACCCACAACGGGAAACTCAGCAAGGAGTTCGAAGTGAATACAGGAGTAAGACAAACTAGCTGCCTATTACCACCGATGATATTCTTAATTGTGGTGGACTGACTAGATTATGCGTCAGACTGTGGGGAGCGAGGAAACATGAATGAGCGGGACTACCGATAATAAGACTCTAGAAGATCTGGATTTCGCGGATGGATGATTTGTGTCTAATGTCACACAAACTCGAAGACTTGCAGGCGAAAAGCACAAATTGGCTGAAGAGACTGACAGAGAAGACAGGACTCCGGGTTAACATAGAGAAGACGGAGGTGAT